CAATTTAAATTTGAGAAAAGTTGATTAGGATAAGTTAACATTAATTCAATAGCATTAAAAAGAAAAATGACACAATGATGTAGCTACAGGCTTAGTAGGTAAGGAGAAAATTTAACTTCGATTTTCATCAAATATATTTTTAGAGAAGCTGACTTGGGATTAATTTCATAATCGTCTCATCTCAAAAAAGTAATTAATTTTTTTTTTTGATAATTTTGGTGAAAAAGCCATAAATAGGTGATTTTTCTTGTCCACAAAAAAGGTGACTTTTCTTGACTTGTGTATTGTGGTGCGTATTTTGCTTTGGGTTGAAGTGGAGGAGGCCGTGCTCCATGGCTGGACATCCGAGAGAGGAAAAAAAAAGAAAAGAAAGAGAGAGGGAAAGCCTCGTACATATCAGAAAGAATCCAGAAAAGCTATTTAATGGAACAAAAATAACATAAAAAAATGTCGCATGAAATTTTGATCAACATAACATAAATATTTTCATGTGAAAAATTGATCATGTGGTTAGATTATGTAATCACAATCACTCATTGATGATGAGATAAGAAAGAGAGAAAAATATATAATTTTTAAATAAGTGATTATGATAAAAAAACATGACCACATAACCATTTTTCCAAATGAGAGGATCCAAATCCATTTTCATTGGATTTGGATCCTCTTATGTGAAAAATTGGTCATGTGGTTATGTTATTTGATCACAACCACTAATTGATAATGAGATAAGAGAGAGAAAAATATATGATTTTTTTTTTTTGAATACAAAAAATATATGATTTTTAAATGAATGGTTATGATCAAATAACATGGTCACATAACCATTTTTTCAAATGAGAGGATCCAAATTCATTTTCATTGGATTTGGATCCTCTCATGTGAAAAATTAGTCATGTGGTTATGTTATTTGATCACAATCACTCATTGATGATGAGATAAGAGGGAAAAAATATATGATTTTTAAATGAGTGGTTATGATCAAATAACATGACCATTTTTCCAAATCAACACACTTTATAATTAAATTAAAATTCTATTATTCTTCTTTTATAATTAAATTCTTAATTCAGATTTCAATTTTTGTAAATACAAATTTATAAAATTTCAAATATTAACGACACAAATCCTTTCAAAAAAATAACTATTTATTATTATTTTGTAAATCTAATTGTAATAAATGAAAGTTTATCTCTGAGATAAAATATAAAAACCTAGACGCAATTATAAGAGCCTTTTTTGTGGATAAATATAAAAATCTATTACATGCTAATAGTTAGAGGTGGCAAACTGGGCTCGGCACGGAGGGCCGGCCCACCAACATATTTTTATAATTAAATTAAAATTTCATCCTTCTTCTTTTATAATTAAATTTCTAAATCTGATTTTAATTTTTGTAAATACAAATTTGTAAAATTTCAAATACAAACGACACAAATCCTTGCAAAAAATAATTATTTATTATTATTTTTTAAATCTGATTGTAATAAATAAAAGTCTATCTCTGAGATAAAATATAAAAACCTAAATGTGATTGTGGCGTATTTATTTTTTATATAACTCATCGAGTAGATAACTATATTTAATTTGCATAATATTGATCACTCTGGATAGCATATTTTTGTTTATGGTTGATATTTGAAAGTTCTGTGTCAATGCTGTAATTTTTTCCACCTGAAATATAGAACAAGATAGCAACACAATTTTTTTGTATGTATAAGGTTTGCAGTGCGATTAACCAACCACAACGGACGACAAAAAATTTGATCTTTTTTCCTCCGTGTTGTAGAGGATGATTTGGTTTATAAACATGCTTCGCTGGATAAATTTGCATTATGGTCGATTGAATGATTTCAGAACAAAAACCATATTGGCATGTTGCGGAAGATGATTCTCTGGATGAAGACAAATCAACCTTCTACGATTTTGAATTGTGTCCAATTAGAAGATTTAATAAAGAGTGCCAATTGATTTTCTTGAAACGATGTAGGGAGAGCGGCAACCCAATAATTTTGTACCGCGAAGGAATAATACACTATTCACGAGATTTTCACGGAAAGTGCCAGGCGATACAAATTTTCGTTCTGAACTCATATTTGGCGTCAGAATCATCAAATTATGTTTCTAAAATCATTTAGCTCATTTAAGCTCTACCGGTTAATTTCCAAAACTGCAAATTATCCGGCAGAACGCACTGTTCATAACCTAGTCATGATCCCAGTCAAAATACTCGAAATCAAGCTCTGAATCTAATTATGGAATTTAAATCCTTAAATTAAACCTCAAATTAAGATTTACAAGTTAGGGTCATTATATATCGCACGGGTCATATACTAGTTTTTTCAAATGAGAGGATCCAAATCCGTTTTCGTTGGATTTGGATCCTCTTATGTGAAAAATTGGTCATGTGATTATGTTATTTGATCACAACCACTCATTGATGATTAGATAAGAGAAAGAAAAATATATAATTTTTTAATGAATGGTTATGATCAAATAACATGGCTACAAAACTATTTTTTCAAATGAGAGGATCCAAATTCGTTTTCATTGGATTTGGATCCTCTCATGTGGAAAATTGGTGATGTGATTATGTTATTTGATCACAATCACTCATTGATGATGAGATAAGAGGGAAAAAATATATAATTTTTAAATGAGTGATTATGATCAAATAACATGACCACATGACAATTTTTCCAAATGAGAGGGTCCAAATCCGTTTTTATTGGATTTGGATCCTATCATGTGGAAAATTGGTCATGTGGTTATTTTATTTGATCACAACGACTCATTGATGATGAGACAATAGAGAGAAAAATATATGATTTTTAAATGAGTGGTTACGATCAAATAACATGATCACATAATCATTTTTTTCAAATGAGAGGATCCAAATCCTTTGGATTTGGATCCTCTCATGTGGAAAATTGGTCATGTGGTTATGTTATTTGATCACAACTTCTCATTGATGATGAGATAAGAGAGAGAAAAATATATAATTTTTAAATAATATGAACAAATAACATGACCACATAATCATTTTTTAGAGGATCCAAATCCATTCTCATTAATAATAAATAGTTATATCATTTAATTTCAATTTTAATTACATTTAATTATAAATTAATTGTTAAGAAAGGAAGAGATAAGAGCAACATATAAATTAGCACCTCTCTATTTCCATACTCCTATAGTACTAAGTATTTGATATATCGTTTAGGAGAAAAAAAATTCATTTAAAACCATTTATACTATTCTTTCTTATGATCAATGCGGACCAGGGGAGGGACTAGCATCGACGACCTGCTCTTCCCTAAATTTTATTTTTTAATAATAATAGACTATTAGTATTAATAGTTAACCCTTTCTTAAAAAATATTTATAATAATTGATATCATATATTAATTTTAATAATATTTATAATTTTAAATTTTTATTTTTGCCCCTTATTATAAAATATTCTTAGTCCACCGCTGCTTATGATTGATGTCATTACCATTAGCATGCATTATTTATTTTTATTTTCTGCTACAGGAGAAGTCAAAAAATTCCTACAAAACATAACAAATTTCTCTTGCTTTTCTTTATTTTTGTTTTTTTATTTTGTGGGCTCCACACATATATGTTTCAGCATGAGAATTAATTATTTTTTATTTTAAATAAAAGAAGCAAAATGGACTGAAACTTTTTTCGTAAAATGAAAAATCGTAATGTAAAAAAATTATAAAAACATGAAAAAAAAAATATTGATAAAATTATTTTGATGAAAAATAATCATAAAAATATAAAATCGTTATAATACAACGAGATTTTAACTACCGTAACACTAACAGATAAAGTTTACACCAGAAAAGTAAATGAATTTGAATATTATATTTAGTAAATATAAATATTTTTTACTCATGATTGGTCAATTAGCCATTGGTTGTTTTGTTACGAAGACAGTGTGATCTGCCTTATCGGATAAGGTTTTCAGTTCATGGACCACCCATTAAATGTGAAAGGCACAAGTAAGTTTCCTTACTACCTTGTAAATATTTCATGTGATAAGATATTATAAGTTTACATATACTTTAACAATTTATAGGACACAATACACTTTATTCTCATAAAATATGATAAATAACAAGCTTATTTAAAAACAGAAGGCCACCATTGGTTTTATATTATCTTTCTCAAACAAAATATTATATTTTTCAACCTATTTTTAAATTTTTTATTGTCACTTAATTCTCATGCAGTTTAATTTTAAATAAAAACACTACTATTTTAAGTTAAATTAAATAGGAGTTGACCTTTACACATTCAAAACTAAACTTCAATCAAGTAATTAAATTTTTTTTTTAAAAAAAACCCTCATAAAGTGTTAAATGATTAAACAAATCATTTGTATAACGGTACAATCACATAGTGTACAAGTATCTTATGTGTCATTTAATTTAATTAAAAAAACCAACGTTTTCACTTAAAATTAAACATAAGAAAGTTATATTATTAGAATTTAGAAAATCAAAACATTTAAAGGAGTAAGATGAGGGAGAAGAAAAAGCTTAAGGGTCGTTTGGTACGCGGAATTCTTGGGGATTCTCGAGAAACTGAATTTTTCTAAAATTTTAATTTTCAAATATTATTGTAAACTAAACGTAAAAATCATATTTCTGAAAATTGAGATTTCCGGACAAATTTTTTTTTCTCTTGTACCAAACGCCCCCTAAGAGTTAAACACTTAAACTTTTTACCTTATTAAAGTATGTATAATCAGTAAAGTCACTTGTAATGTCATTGGCAAACTTTTAAATATTTGGACGCATTAAATTTGAAGGTTTTTATCCTCTTTATCTAAGCCGTACACTTGGGTTGGCATTCAAATTGGACAATTGGATTTGGTGCCAAACTACACTAACAACAAGAAGAAAAAAAACGACATCAATGTTGTGGAAGCTGACGTTGTCAAGAGAAGGCAACAAGAGAAAGAAAAAACAAAACAACAAAATACACGTCTATAAGTGTTGAATGCTAGTGTAATATGCTTGTGGTAGAGAAAAATGGTAGGACCATTGAGGCCTCAATTTGTGTTGTTTGGTTCATCCATAGTTCAGCTCAGTTTTAGTGATGAAGGTTGGGGAGCTATTCTTGCCAACTTGTATGCTCGCAAGGTACTTATATTTGCATGTTGATCTTGTTCATTGGATTATGGTTTTTCTTATATATATTTTTCTTTGGGTTTGATTGGGTTGTTCTTTCATTGCATGTGCTCTGATATGGATTAATGTTATTCAGTTTCATTTCTTGCTTTAGTTACGAATGACTGAAAGATTGTAAAACTTGACTTTGCATGTTTACATAACCGATGAAGAATCGTTGTGTTTTGTCATAATTTCCTCTGGTTTTGTACTCATGCTTCATATAGGGGTGCTTTTTGTGATGCGTGGATGACTCTCTGTAAAGAACCAATTCAACCAAAAAGTTTTAGCTGTTAGATTGCTATATTAATGGTTTTCTTTTTATCTAATATATACTATCACACGAGAGTTCATTGAATTTGAAGGATGGATAATGCATCAGGCACAACTTATTTGTGCTAAGAACCTCCACAATACTTAATTATTTTTATTAATATAATGGAGTCGGTGAGTATCAAACTCGTGATCATTTAGTTACCGAGGCTCTGATAACTAGATGTAGCTTTTCTCCTGGGGAAGATGCCTAATATTTACAACGCTCTTGTAGTTAAGGGTCAAGATACTATTGGTCAACAAATGTAAAGAACTAATTTATCTCAAAAGTTTAAGCTGTTGAGTAAGGCTATATTAATAGATTTATATTTCTCTAACATCCTTTATTTTGAGACTTATTTTATTACAATTTTCTTGAGTTTTTGACCATCAAGAACAGGACTACATGCAATGGAATAGTTCATTTTGAAAAAAGAAAAAAAGAAAAGAAAGTACTACTTTTGATGCTTTGAGTATCTGCAAAGTAAGGCTGGTTGTTTTCTTGCGAAGAAATCATAAAGTAAGACACCTCAATTATTGAGGAAATTCTTATCTACATGTCAATTTAAGCCATTGAGAACTTTTTGAGGAAGTGGTGGTCCTGTAATATAATTGGACTAGAAATTAGGTAAATAAAAAAAATGAGAATTTTATTGATATGATTCGTATATCTCTTAAAGCTGCCACAGATTGCGCACTCCAGGATGATCAGTACTCTTCTTCCTCTCCCTCTCCATCAATCCTAATTTAAATAGAAAGAGACTCATTTAAGAACACATGCATCTAAAAATGCCTAATTTTTTTGAAATATCAGCGAAGTTGTTTCTTGTGACCAGAAGGTCACAGATTCGATTATGGGATCAACTTCCTCACTAAAATGCGTAGATAGGGCTATGTACAACGAACCCTCACCCCTACCCTCGCAAATGAAGGAGTCTTGTGTACGAGGGTTTGCCATTTATCAGCCAAATAACACAGTCAATTTATATTTATATATGCCTTTTGTGAGTGATGCTTTATGATGGTCAATGAGTTTAACTTGTCAGACATTGACTTGATATATAGGCAGATATAATTTTGCGAGGATACTCAGGTTGGAATTCAAGGCGTGCTCTGCAGGTTCTGGAGAAAATATTTCCCAAGGTATTGATTCAACATTTTACCTTTTCTTCCCATTTAAGGTTTCATTCTTTCTTGATGAATGCTAAAATATGGTTGTTTTATTTATGGTAGTCACTAATGGAACCTCACAAAAAGAGCTAGCAAATTGACTAGCTCATGCTATGGACTTGCTTGAACAATCTTGCACATGATGGCCTCAACTTGTCTTAGAATTGAGCATGGACATTTAAGAAGTTTTGTTTGAATTTTAAGAGATTGAATGTACTATAATAAACTTCTTATTATAATTGCATCATGCACACACACACTTATATATTAATCCTTAGATTCATATTTGAACAATATGATTACTTTTGATTCTTGTTCAGACTTAACATAAAAGGAATTGCCCTTTTGCTCTGTCATCTTCAACTCAGGATGCCACTGTGCAACCATCATTGGTAATTGTGTATTTTGGTGGTAATGATTCTATTCATCCACATCCATCTGGCCTTGGTCCTCATGTGCCCCTCCAAGAATACATTGATAATATGAGGAAGATTGCTGTCCATCTTAAGGTAGTTTTTCACACTGAGCATCACTTTCCTGTCCTTTTTCCTCACATTATCATATGAAAGAAAAGAAGCATATCTTCAATTATTATTTGAATAAAACTGGGATTTTTTTACCTTTCATATTTATCACTACAAAGTTTGACCCAAGTCCTAATTGTTGCCAGAGCCTTTCAAAGAAGACTCGCATAATATTTCTCAGCTCTCCTCCCATCAATGAGGCAAAAATCCATGAAGTGCTCAGGTTCTGATTGCAATTGGTTTACTATTTGGTTGTACATATAATTTCACATGATCTTGAGGCTACGATAGGCAGGGCAGCACTTCCACTTTATAGTGATGATGCCTACACTTCCATTTATGCTATGATAACATAATGACACATACCCCCAAACTGGCAAATAATTGTTGGGATCGAACACATACACATACACAATCGCAAATCAAAAAGAGAGAAAGGGAAGAAAGGAAGAGACACAGATTTACCCTGGTTCACCCAATCTAGCAATATGCACTATATTCTCCTCGCCACACTCATTACAACACTCAATTTACAAGAGAAATATAAATAAGTTTAGAAATCCTAAACAACACCAGTTATTCATGGATAGCCCAAACTATTGAAGAAAGAAAAAATAGAATAAGTCGGATGCTCACAACAATATCAGGCCCACAATATGCACCCATTGGCTTTGTCTACGTCCCGCTAACATGGGTCATCATCCGAATGCAAAGTATGAACCATGCCCAATAATAATTTTATAAACTCCAAGGTTGTTATTTATAGATCAAACTTGTACCTCGGCCTAAAGGTTGTATTATATATTGGTCTTCCACTTGTGCTTGAGATTGGATAATGGCATGTCTGATATGCAAAAATTGACATCTATGGCTTTAGACTAAAATGATCTAAATCTATTATTATGCTGGCACTTGATAAGTTGAGGATGCCAAATTCCTTCCAAAAGCTTTGACATTCTTATTACCTAATTTTTTAAAGATTTACATTTCAACCTTAAACTCTTACAAATTAATGGTTGGACTGAAACCAGTAATCAACTGGGGCAAACAAGAAGGACAAATGAATCGTGTCGAATATATTCAGAAGCGTGTTTGGAGCTGTGCCGCGAGATGAATGTCAAGGCCATTGATCTCTGGTCTGCTCTCCAACAAAGGGATGACTGGTTAAATGTTTGCTTCACGTAAGTATGCCAATTGCTTTCATATGTAACTGAAGGAAAAGTACAAAACTATCTTAATTTCATTCATTTGATTGAGTGGTGTTTGATAGGGATGGAATTCATCTATCATCTGAGGGGAGCAAGATAGTGGTTAAAGAGATATTGAAGGTCCTCAGAGAAGCAGACTGGGAACCTAGTCTTCATTGGAAGTCAATGCCAATTGAATTTTCAGAAGATTCACCATATGATCCAATTGGTGGGGATGAAAAGACAACTGTAAATGTATCTAACTGGAACTTCCAGGGGTGTTTCCAATTTGACTAGAGTTTTGTGCACTTAACAAACTACGGAAAGGCCCATAATTTGAAGAATCTCTAGTCAAAAAATAGTAGGGTTATGTTGTACTTAAAGAAATATGATGATGTTCTTACATATTGGGTTAGTTATATCTGGTTTTTAAGCATGTGAATGTTGTTAACTTGTCATTAGTTATATCTGGTTCTTACATATTGGGGAGCAAAATATGCATTACGGAACCAACGTTAAGCCTTCCTTTTTGTATGAGAAGCCCGCATTTTATAACCGTTCAACTTTCAAAATCATTGTTTACCAGGCAAGCAAGGCAACCTAGCTGGCTTTCCTATTGGTAGCATGAGTATCTACTACCTACGTTGAAACATATTTTTTTTTTTTTCATTTCTTCTTTGGCAAAAAAAAAAAAAAAAGAGTTTGAGAAAAAGTTATCTCATTCTAAGATTAACACATGCTACAATTTAACGTGAAGGCTTATAATAATATTTTTGACTACGTTATTCGATCATACCAATTGAATCAACCCTCGTTGACAAAATGTATATTATTATGTCAACATACAGGTAGCACGAGACGTATATATGATACCATGAAAAGTCCTGCTAGAATCTTCACTAAGTTCACTTAGGTTAGTTCCATGTAGGAATGAGCAATAGATTCATCAACCAAGTCTCATGCACTCGTAATATGGTATATCGTATATGTAATAGAATTAATGTGTTGCTTGCGCATGTAACAGCGTGTGCATAACACCGATGTGTTCATAGGAGTTAGGAGCTAATTTCCTTTTATATTTGTTACTTGGTATATAACTAATTGTAGTTTTTTAGCTCCTTAAGCTTCGTGTTAAAGCTTCACTCCGTAATCTCTTTATGTTTCCGTTCTCCCATGGAACAGATGTGTAATACAATCAATCTCTTCTTTCACTCAGAAATGGCTGAATCCCTCCCTTCTCTTTTCCCTTATTTCCTCACTTTGATGGTATCGGACCTCTTCTCTGCTATGTAAGCAAATAATTGAACCTCCAATCATTGCACACCGGCATGAACAGTTTCGGGTGAACCAAAGATGCCACCGAACCCAAAGAAGATCGAAGTGCTTGAACAGTAAATCCAGCCTATGCAGAATGCGAGAATGTGGACAAAATATTGCTCACTTGGTCGCAGTCACTAAGTCAGAGGAGATTATCAATAAGATCTTTCGTGTAAGACAGTTAAGATCAACTGTTCCTTGGTGGACTTACGGTAATGCTACAACCGTCAACTGTAAAAGACTTAAGAATGTCACCTTCCAAATCCCCATGGCCTAGAGATGTCTAGAAAGCATCGCCTTGGGAATTTTGAAGGTGAAATCTCATGGGTGACTCTAGTAGCCACTCTAGAGCTACGAGATAGGATGATTGTGATTATTACCATCTTCGGAAGAACCGCTAGTTCCTTATCATAAAACACCTATCAATAATAGGAATATACAACACAAACACATGTGGACATTGAAAAAAAAAGCAACTCGTACAACTTTCTGTTTAGCAAGGGTTGCGTTACATCAAAGGGTTCTAGAAACCCAGAGTCTCGTGTGCACATGAGATATTCAATTACATAATCAGAAGAATGTGTAACACAAATCAAACAAAGGAATAATACATACAAGGGTGAGGAAAGAATCAAAGACCTCAATGACAGCACAAGCACCCACCTAATGATTACACCGCAGGAAAATGATTCTACTCGGATGATGATCAGCCTACTCCATTGCTTTCAACATAAAACAAAACTAGGCCAAAACCATATCCGAATATAAAAGCCACACCAAATGAGATGATAAGACAAGGAATTTCCGATGGCTCCCTTCAGAAGACACTCTTCCATGCTATAAACCATACCTCATGTAGACAATTGGAACCTGCCACTGGGCTTCTTTCTTCTCCATCCCTGATATTTCCAAATTCAAAACCCTTCAGGCTCAGCAAGAACATTAACACACAATAAAGGGGAAAGAAAAGTTTCCAGAGGTAAACTTACAAAGGCAGCGTAATACACAAAAGTCAATCCAGCCAAAACAACAAAGGCAATCTGAAATACGTTGTACCTGTGATGTGACAACTGCTTAGTCAATTTGTATTGGCAAAGCGTAAACAATGTGAGTATCAAATAATACATGCAAACCCTCATTATTAACACACCAAGGACAATCATAAAAAATACTGACCTGAAACAGGGAATTATACAGGTGAGTGATGCTACTCAAACACCCAAAAAAAAAAAAAAAAAAACCTCTTCTGGTCATTAAACCTCTACAATGTGTCACATCAATGTTCAGTACACATGATCCAATGGCCTATAGATTTTATTTTTATTTCTTTTGCATATTTTGAGCGTGAATAGAATTATTCCACAGAATCTCAACTGAAAATAAGGGAATTATAGAATTAGGAAGGAAAAATTGGGGCCATCCCATCGTGTGGTATAAATTTGCAAGTTAAAATTTTTGCCCCATTAGAGGGCTTGAGGTGAGAGAGAAAAATAAAATAAAATCCAGTTTGACTCACTTGTACAAATATTTAATTCCACGAAGAGACTCCAAAGTATGGCTAAATATTTCCTGCGCTGCAGTTGCCTGAGCATAGTAAGCAAATGCTGTGGAGCAGAACTGGATCACACTGAAAGAGAAATACAATTGAACTTTCAGCAACGTTGTCACAGCATGACATTATCATGGCAGAAAACAGCTTGCTACTCGTCCAAAAACAGCTTCCCATAACACTCATAACACCATTCACACAATGAATAATATTTTTCCTGCTATTTTAATTTTTAAAAAAATTTAACTGGAAAATCAAAGCCTAAAAGTATCACCACTTTCAATTATGCATTTTTTTTTAAACTATACACCAAAGAAGAATATAAATCATTATCATAAATTTTATCGCGGTCCAAAATAGAAACTTTAAACATAATTGTTGAATCACTAGGGCAGCCATCTTAAAAAGTAATCTTTTACACATAATAACCCATTTGAAAATGTAATGTACAGGCTATACTGACCTAATGGAACAAAGAAGGATAAGGCCCACATTGAACAGAAAAGAGTTCATAAGAGTTGCTCCCCACCTGCCATAAGCAAGTTTACAGTGATCAATAGAAGCAATAAGTGACCAACACAGATTAAAAGCGAAGTAAAATGATATATCTGACAGCACAACTTAATTACTTCATGGGATGTATGGTAATGAAAACTAGTCTCAGCCCAAGCATCGTGGCACCAGCAATTACAGCAAGGAGAAGGTAGAAGCAGAAAAATGCAAATGCAGCTGTACCCAGAAGACCTGATGAAACCAGAATATATATATATATTATGAAGAATAATAGAATGAAAATTAAAATATAGTGTCTACAGTTATATAGATTACAAAAGGCAAGAGTATTCCAACATACCCCATACATCATCCAGCTTGATGAAAACTTCGTTCAGGAAAGGAGAAAGAGGAGGATCAATTAATAGATAAATAATGATATGAGCAACCCATGCCACAGAAACGATAAACCTGGTACAGTTTTCAAAACTCAGGTTAGATACAATACATGGGAAACATAACTCCTGTTACAGAATAAGCAATCTTCATTACAGTGAGATAACAAGAATAATGTCCTCAGCAATAGTTGCCTGGCAATATTCACTGCCCAATTCTATTACCACTCCAATTCAACTGATTTATATTTAATTTCTCTATAATACCATTTTTCTTAGTCAATCTAATTGTTGATTACCACTCCTAATTATATTTAAACTCCTTAGCATTAATTTAATTAATTGATTCTAAAAATATTTTATCAATTTTTAATAATGATCACACACCCAATGTTTCACCATCTATAGTATCTATATAACTTTTATAAGAAAATATTAAACGAACCCAATATATTAGGAATTATAGGTATCCATCCATACCTCAATATTTATTGTCGGCTTTATTTTTATTATCTTCATAAATATAGTGTTAATTTTTTTTAACAGAGGTAAATTTTAACATATATAACTCTGTGTTTATGTGTCCACGTGGGCGTGTGTTGGTAAAGGATCCATAAAAAATATAATACCTCAATGCCTTAAAGTTATCAAGAGTTATTCCTGTCCAACTCAGTACTCCTACATATAGAAGAAATGCTTATTGTTACCAAAGTACAGCATCATATTCATTTCTTCTCTCTACCCTACAATGGACATGCTTTAGATGAAGTTAAATGCTTAAACACCGAGGTCCTTTTCAGATCACTGTGATTCTTATTCTTGTGAATTTCTAGTTTTAATTTAGTATAGCACATTGGGTCTTCCCTAAAACTCCTGTTGAAAATTATCACATATATAGTTCAGTGTGAGAAATATGTCCAACAGTATACCAAAATACTTCCTCCCATGGTGAGGGGAAAGGAAAAAAAAACACAACTAAAAGATGTAGCTTTGTAAAACTATGTACAAGGGATCATCCAGCATCACGCATTTCAAGAAACTTAGATTGTTAAATGTCATTGCTTACCCTAAGATCCCCAAAACAAGTTTTGCGAGATACCCAAGAACTGTTAGGGCCCATGTTGTCTCAGCCTGCATCATACAGGATATGTAAGAGAGAGAAACTTTGCACATTGTTTATGTCAAGAATTTAGAAGGCTAGAAATTCAAGTACCTACCTTTTCCCCTTGTGGATACATCTCCTCAAGAAGCTTTACATCTTCTTCTAATTGAAACAACTCCTGGCAAATTACGCGAGATAGATAAGTAAGAAAATAAATCAGAACTATTCAAACTAAATCAAGAACATTTCATTAACTTAGACAACTTTCACCCACAAACTAGAACAGCACACATCAAATTATGATATGTAAAGCCCTAGCCAACAAGAGTACACAAAAAATACATAAAAGAAAGTTTGTAGTATAGAGTATTGATATATCATCAACATTTGTTTACCTTTTCTACTGCTTTCACATTTTTACGAAATTTCCGACCCTTTGAACCACTTCTTTCTTCCTGATGAAGTGACTCAGTTGCTTTCTTCAGCTCTTTTGCTTTTTTACCCAGTTCAGTTGCTTCCTACAACAGTAACCAATCAACCACGCCATAAATATACTATAGTACAGCATATCATAAAAGAAATACAAATATAATCAAAATTTAATATGTCCCCAGCTATAAAAGCATATCGCACCTTGATATACTGTGAGCGAGTAATAACAGCCTTTGGACGCTGAATAAATGAGAATATAAGTCCCAATGGAAGACAGGCAATACCAACGCCGCCAAATATCTGGATTGAATGGTGAGACAACAATGGTTAATATCCTGAGTAGGAAAAATAGAAATACATGTGACTGGGATGGAAAGCTTTACTAAGAGACTGCTTCCACTTCTGTGCAGTTTATGGTGTCAATTCATATTTTTAAGGCAATCAAAAAAGTCTAACGAAATATACTAGTTCACACATACTTTCACAAAAAATTGATTATGAAATAAAGCTTTATTAGTAAAAATAATAATTAAAAAAATCCAAACATGCATAAACTACCTAGGTAACATATGAAATAGGATTTTTTGGATAAATAATAACTTACAGCGAAAAGCACAGATCCAACAATAGTAGCAAGAGCAACAACATATTCTGGAAAGGTGGCACGCATTGTCCAAGTCTGCTCTGATGAAGGACTAGCAGAGTATGCAGAACACTGTTTTTGGGACAAAGGTGTAAAACCAGAATGAGAAGCAGAGAAAATTACTTCTAGAAAGTAAAAGCAACAAAACCAGCAAAAAAAGGACAACTAGTTAAAAAAGACCTGACGGGAGCCACTTCCAATACATTGTTGACCACTATTGAAGTTCCATGAGCTAGGAAATGAACTTGTGGACGAAGAGAGATGCATAACAGTAAAATCCACCTTCCCAACAAGCCCTTATATGTCACATAGAATAAAAGCACGATCACACACAGTTTAAAGCTCACATCAAGCAACAACAGATAAATGTTTACTTGAGCCAGTGGTGGTTAAAATTGAACAATAAGATTTTACGCTTCATAACAAATTTTCCATTTAATAACTACAGTCATGAAAAACTCTTCTAGGAAAGAAGAGAATGAAGTATAACTAATGGTAATATAATTTAGAGGGTAAGGTAATACTCGATGCCTATGTAAGGTTAATGCCTTGCGACCTTGTGAACACAGATTCTGGAGGCTCAAGAACGGTCTTATAAATATAACATGCCCTCTCAAGTGGGAGCCTTTTAGGCTTTAAGCATGGACAATGCATAAGCCCGCTTTACCTTGTGCTGAAACTTTATTTAATTATGATTTATGAAGACTGGGGGCAGCTAAAATCGAATTCTTGCTCACTTATTCATACAGGCTCTAATACCTTGTCAAGAACCTATTCTTCTAAACGCTTAAGTAGTTAGGTTAAGGCTCAGAAATAAATTTATATGTCTTACAAACCTCTATGATGAAGTTCCAGGAATGGTTTTAAATCTTTAACATAGTACGGCTTCACTCATTTCTAACAAAATTTGGCAACACAGCACTTCAATAAAAGAATAGGACTGAATCACGTGAAAGGGTTTCGAGTCAAAGTATTCAGAAAAGAATCATAGTAGCAGACCATTCTGGAGTCAATCTCAAACTACTGGCAAAGCATTGGTTGGGCATCTACATTTTGTATTATGGGCCATCAACAGTCTAAAAACTACAAAGTAGTACATTCTGCATCTGGCCTTACCTTGCTATTTACAGATTTGGGGGGTTGAATCACAGGATTTCTTTTGTCAGACCTTAAATATATAAGCAGCTTAAGTATTGTTTTCAACCTCATATATATGTACAACATATAAAATAGTTTAGTCCTGGCACTGTGAATTATTTATAACAACTAATAAAAGGATATTTCTTAGGTACCCCCACCACTGCATTATTTACAGTCAACAGCGCCATCCAACAGGGCAGGGGTATCAGAACTCTAAGGGTACTATAGAATTTTACCTAACAAAATAACAAGCATGATAATCTTTAAGAGAAAGGATATCCTTTCATTTAACATACTTTCAGAGTCTTAATTAAACCAACTTGTAATCAATGTCATATATTGAAACTCTGAAATATATTATCATCAAAATCACTACCATACACTGTGAATCTACCATACTAGCTCTTATCTTAAACCTGTTCTGATGACAAGTTCAGCATGTTTGTCGAGAATGACTGTTAAAGAATAATAATAACAATTTTATGTGGAAAGGCTTCTATATATCTGTTAAATTTCCAAACTACATAAAAAACTAAAGATTGTACAGTAAATAATACATTTTTTTACTTGAAATTTCAATAACTTTGGTTCTTCGTGTTTTTCATCTAACAGTGAACCCAAGACTCTTTCCAAACCTTCCTGGAATCATAACTTAGGAACCACGAAATATCCAACACATTTCCTCCCACATAAACTGTTAAACTTTACTGCTGCTCTCAATATTGATACAAAGGGCAACCCAAAATATTCTTGCCTAAACCCCAACCTTTATGCTACCACTTATTGGTGCAGTGTAGCTTTTAGGTTCTGTATATGCTGAACTGTATTACTGTTTTACCGTGACTATTGTACTCCTGGATGTACTGAATCTTTTCTCCATTCTGTTTCTGGTTAGTTAGTCAGATCATCTGACTCAGATCTGAGTCAGACTTTAGCTCTATGAATAGAGGCTCAGTGTATCTAAAACTGTGTAACATTTTCAGACCAATTACAATGGAGTTTTCTCTAACTTTCTCTCCAAACTCTGATACCACTGATCCACTTCAAACCTTTTTTTCTTAATCAATTGATACTCAGAAACTCCACTAAGTGGCACCTTTGATGATAATAAGACTTACACCTCCCCCCCTCCCCAAAAAAAAAAGAAAAAGAAAACACTCAAAGAATGAAGTAAACCATTGAACCCCACTCCTTTTCTTTTCCTTACTTGGCTGGAAGATATTCAGGAGATGGATGTGCAGTATGTAGCTTCACAACCAAGGCAAGGAGAACCACAATTAATTTATGCCTATGCCTATGCCTACCAAACAACAAGTGATCACCAGCAAGAAACGAACAAAGGACCTCTGGTGTCAACAAAGCTCAATCCTGCCAATTCCACTCTTTTTCTAGTAGTTATTTTTGGCCCTCTGCTCACACACACACTAATAATTATCCCAAAACAACATTAGGCCATTGCATTCTGTCATGATATTCATCAAACATAACAATTCCAACCACCCAACATTGACAACTGAAATAAAAACATCTAGGTCCATATTAAACCCTGAGATTAAAGTTAATACCGTCTCATAAATTACCAACTTATCCCTACCTACACACAAACATAGAGGGTCTAACTGAAAGTAGAAAAATAAACAAGAGCATTAGAGCATACCATACAAAATACCCAAAACTAGAGCGCACACGATAGCAGTGGTCACCATCCACAACAACGCACTCTTAATCCGCTTGCCAATACTCCTGCACGCAAATTCCACAACAAAACACATCACATTTTCTCAAAATCACGCGACATTGATTTTAAAAATAAATAAACTAAAAAACAAAATTAAATTGAAAAAAAAAAAGAAAAAACCAAAAGTACCTACTTACTTGTCTTGGTCCCCTTCGTAGTAAAACATGGCGAAGGGGATAACGAAGAACACGAGGACCGCGTCGAGAATGTAGACGACGAGCCATAGGTCTTTCATGGGGAGCGTGAGGTTACACGCGCCGTTGTAGATCGCGTGACGGCACGCCTGGCGGTTTGCCACGTCGGCGGGGAGCATGAGGATGGAGATAGCGGCAACGGACAGCCCCAAAACGACGACGAATTTGGGGAAGTAAGCTTGGTTGACGTCATCAGGGTGCTGGTAGTTCACGAGGAGGTAAACGTTGACGAGGAACACGATCACGCACACCACGATCGCCACAATCACCAGAGCCAGGTTGAAATCGCCCATTCTTTTGAGATCTCTCTCTAACACCGATTCGAATTTGAGAGATCGAAGAATTGGGGATTTAGGGTTCCGATGTTAGGTTTAGGGCTTAAACGGATCTGGTTTTGATGAGTTCAGAGGAAGAAGAAGAACGAAGAGCATTGTGTTTTTTTGTTTGTTTTTTTCTCGTTCCGGTGAGTTGAGGATGGTGGTTTCGTAATAATGGAGTTAAAATTACTTTTGTGCCCTCGGTGACTGCTAGGATAACAGAGGTCGTTTGGGGGTATTAATGTAAATTGGAAGGAGTTTAGATGAGAAGCAACTTCCAATGTTCAAACCAGCCTGTACTCCAATCGATGTTGTATCTGTTGTTTTACTAATGTTTCTTGGTTTGGTTTTCTTTTGTTGTTTATTTTTGGTTGGTTTAACGTTGTGACGCGAAGGATGAAGGTGGAGGACCCAACTTTGTGTTAATTTTTAGAATAAACATTTATTTTTTAATAAGGTAAGATTAAAATTATTTTGGTTTTGAAAAGATAATAAGAACCCAAGATTATTTTTTAATAAGGACCCACCTATATTATTTTATGAAACCCACTTTTATTTTTTCAGGCATCTAAATAAAATATTTAGATTTTTGAATAATTTTTTTTTTAAATTATAATTGAATATCACCGAATTTAAATATAATTTTTTAAAATTCTAATAGAATATCACGTAATTTTATTTTTTTCAATGCTTAAAAATGCTAATTAAACCTCTCGGGGGCACACTATAAATACGACGTTAAAGATCACCTTGTTTCTCTCGCAATTTTTTTTCCTCTTATTAGTTCTTAACTTTTCTCCGCTCTTCCCATCTTTTGCTTCCCTTTCGGTCTTGATTTGGTGATAATGGACCACCACCTTATACATGCTGGTTTTATGTTCCTTCCAACAGATGAACAATTAATAACATGCTGCCTTTTGCCCAAGTGTCGTGACCCATAGAGGTGGCAAAGTGGGCGGCCCGCCCCGCCCCGCCCCGCCCCGCCCCGCCCCTGCCCCACCATAAACCCGCCAAAAAATAAGTTAGCCCGCCCTGCCCCGCTTTTGAAAGTGGGCTAAAAAATTGACCTCGCCCCGCCCTGTTTGGCGGGTTAGGCGGGTTTGCCCGCGAGCCCGAGCTTATTTTACACTAACCCGTCTCGGTCCGCCTATGCCCGCCATCAACCCGCCAAAAAATGAGCACGCCCCGCTTTTGAGATGGGTTGAAAAACTCAGCCCGCCCCGCCCCGTTTAGCCGATGGAGTGGGTTAGCCCGCCGAGCCGAGTCTGTTTTGCCGGTGAAAGGCTAAAGAGATTAAATCAGATGTAACAGAATTCCTGATTATCAGCTAGTTAGTTTATAAGTTAGTTAAGCCTTAGTTGAGTGCTATATATAGCTATGTATCATCACTGTTGTATCATTATTCATTTCTTCAATTTTCACTTTCATAACTCTTTTGTTGATTCTTTCTGCTTCCTTTCTTTCATTACTCTTAATTCTGATACCTTACATGGTATTAGAGCTATATTTTTCGATCCATGGAACCTAACGCTTCTGCTGCTGAGTCTCAACCTGCGCAAAATACATTGGAAAGCAACAATGCAACGTTGCAATCTACACTTCAGACCTTCTCTAATCCAGTATCGTTCAAGCTGGATGAAGGAAACTTTCTTCCTTGGAAACAGCAGGCTATGGCAACCATAAGAGGATTCAATCTTCAAAGATTCATCACTAGTGATGCTGATTAATCAACTCAACAAGATCAATTGTTGATGTCATGGCTTCTTGCTTCCATGTCTGAGTCCCTGCATACAAGAATGGTTGGCTGCCAATCTTCTTATCAAGTTTGGATCAAGCTAGAGGAATTCTTTACCTCTCAAACTCGATCCAAGGTAAAACAATTGAAAATTCAACTGAAGAATAGCAAGAAAGATTCTATAGTTTCAAGCTATTTGTTACAAATGAAGAAAATCGTGGATTCACTAGCAGCCACAGGTGCTGCAATTGCATCAGAAGATCACATAGATGCAATTCTTGATGGCCTTGGTGAAGAGTATGATGCATTCATCACATCTGTCATCTCAAGGTCAGATCCATATACAGTGAGTGAGATAGAGGCTCTTCTTATGGCTCAAGAAGAACGCCTAGAAAAACATAGAAAGAATGAAGTTGGTATGCTGCAGTCCAACTTCACACAAGTGAACCTGACTCATATGAACAGAGGAAGATCCTATAGCTCTACTGCTGGTGGAAGAAGCCCTCATTACTTCAACAGAGGGAGTCGTTTTAACAATTTCAATAGAGGAAGATATGGCAGATATGGAGGAGGTAGATCTTATCCACAGCACCAACAATCTGGAAGAATTCAATGTCAGTTATGTGGTAAGTCAGGTCACATGGCTTGGGAGTGTTACAATAGATACAATCAAGCACTCCCTAATCCCTTCAACAACAGAACTGGATACAATCAAGAACGTGGATACAGTCAAGAATCATCACATCCACAGATGTAAGCCAATGTTGCAGTAGCTAGAAACAACTCTTTGATTGGACATAACTCATCTAGCAGTCAAGATGACAACAACTCAGAATATTTTTCTGTTTTTGATCCAACATGGTACCCTGATTCAGGAGCTTCTAATCACTTCACTCCTGATGGTTCTAATCTACAATCAAAGACTTCTTACAAAGGACAAGATACAGTTCGCATAGGTAATGGATCAGGTATGAAAATTCAGCATGTTGGTAATTCCACCTTACATTCATCATCCAACTCTTTATCATTTACCTTACCAAATATCCTTCATGTTCCAGGTCTTTCAAAGAATCTCTTAAGTGTGTCACAGTTTGCCAAAGATAATCATGTTTTCTTTGAGTTCCATGCTAACCATTGCTTTGTGAAATCTCAGGCTACCAAGGAGATAGTTCTCCAAGGAAGACTTAAAGATGGTCTTTATGCCTTTGAAGGAACACATGTAATAAAGCCTATGAAGCATTCAGCCTATCAAGTGCAAACAGAAGCCAACTCCACACAAAATAAATGCCTTTCTGATTCTGTTTTAGAACTGTGGCATGGTAGACTAGGTCACTCTTCATTCACAACTGTAAAGTCTATTCTTTCCCATTGTAAAATACCCTTAAATAATAGGAAAGTCCCTTTGTGTTGTGCTTGTTGTATGGGGAAAATGCATCAGCTTCCTTTTACTCTTTGCAATATTGTATACCATACTCCTCTTCAATTAGTTTACACGGATATTTGGGGTCCATCCCCTATAGACAACACTAATGGTTCCAAATATTATATCTGTTTTGTTGATGCTTTTAGCAAGTACACCTGGCTATATCCCATGAAAACCAGATCCCAAGTTCAAACCATTTTCTCTCATTTCAAAACCATGGCAGAACTTCAACTTAATACTAAAATCAAATGCTTACAAACTAATAATGCAAAGGAATACCTTGCCTTAAAACCTTTTCTTCAAACTCATGGTATTATTCATCGACTCACATGTCCTTATATTCATCAACAAAATGGCACTCCCGAAAGGAAGCATCGTCATATTGTTGAAATGGGGTTATCCATGTTAGCAGTATCTCATCTCCCAAAGAAATTTTGGGAAGATGCCTTCATCACAGCTTCTGTCATCATCAATATGCTGCCATCATCTAGTCTCAAGAACACATCCCCATGTCAATTACTTTTCAATAAAGAACCTGATTACTCTTTTCTACGCACCTTTGGTTGTCATTGCTATCCTTATTTAAGGACATACAATGCTCACAAAATGGACTACAGGTCAGCATCTTCCACCTTTTTGGGCTATAATCCAGCATATAAAGGATATAAGTGTCTTACACCATCAGGTAAGGTCATTTTCTCTCAACATGTCCTATTCGATGAACAACAATTTCCCTTTAATCATCCACCATATATTGTCATCCCTACTTCCTCTCCATCCACTCCAACCACAGTGCCATTTATACCCACCATTGTATCTTCCAACATTACCCATACTGAAAATATTACACATGCTGAATTGTCAACTCAGTCCATTACTCATAACAATGTATCACCTGCTATTTCAGATACTAACCTTAATTGCAGGTCTTTGTCTCCTTCTCCTGTTCCATCTACTAGTTCTACTTCTTCACAGAACCACCATTCGATGGTCACTAGAGCCAAAGCAGGAATTTTCAAGCCACGGCTATTCACTGCCTCATTAGAGCCCACCTCTGTTGCTCAGGCCTTGGCTGATCCTCAATGGCTTCATGCAATGCAAGAGGAATACAATGCTCTTATTCGAAACAACACTTGGGAGCTTGTTTCATTGCCTCCTGACAGAAAACCCATTGGCTGTAAATGGGTCTTTCGGGTGAAATATAATCCAGATGGCTCATTACTCAAACACAAGGCATGCCTTGTAGCCAAAGGATTCCACCAACGTGAAGGCATAGATTATACTGAGACCTTTAGTCTTGTTGTTAAACCAGCTATTATCCGCATTATTCTAACACTTGCACTCTGCAATGGTTGGCCCATACGTCAGCTGGATGTCAATAATGCGTTTCTCAATGGTGATCTAGCTGAGGAGGTGTTCATGTCTCAACCTCCTGGTTTTGCTGCTGCTGACACTTCTTTGGTCTGTCGATTAGGGAAGGCTCTTTATGGACTCAAACAAGCCCCTAGAGCTTGGTTTGAGAAGCTCACCACTACTCTCATACGACTTGGATTCACTGCCACTAAATGTGATTCTTCACTTCTTGTCTCCATCACTCCTCTAGCTACAACTTATGTGTTAGTCTATGTAGATGACATCCTAATTACAGGATCCTCTGCATCTACCATTTCATCACTTATTATGTCTCTCAACACTGTGTTTGCACTCAAGGATCTAGGAAACATTCACTATTTTCTTGGCATTGAGGCAAAACAGTCATCTACTGGTGTCCTTCATCTCACTCAATCGAAGTATGTTACGGATCTCTTAACCAAGGCAGGCATAACAGATTGCAAGTCCCTGCCCACTCCTATGGTGTCTGGTTTAAAGCTTTCTGCTAAAGATGGTATACCTTTCCATGACCCTTCATTGTATCGATCCATTGTAGGAGCTCTCCAATATGCCACTGTCACACGTCCTGACATCTCTTTTTCTGTAAACAAAGTCTGTTAGTTCATGCAGTCTCCCCTTGATAGTCATTGGCAAGCTGTAAAAAGGATTCTCAGGTATCTCAGTGGCACTCGGCATCTAGGATTAACTATCTCTCCTTCCTCACAACTTCGTCTTCAAGCTTATTGTGATTCAGATTGGGGTTTTGACATGGATGATAGACGCTACACTTCTGG